TGGAGGAGACAAGGGCTGTGAACAATCCTCTGTTCTCACAGTGTCTGCTTCACTCAGCACATCGCACTTCAGGTACTCTGTCAGTTACTCAGAGCAGGGAGCACACATGGTATCTGTCTTTCCCGGACTGGCTTGTTTCACTAGGTAAAATGTTTCCAGTTGTGACCATCGTGTTGCAAAAAGCCATGAGGAACTGCACATCAAAACCACAGGAGGTCACCTCTCGGTTAGAATGGCTCCCACACGGAAATCAACAAGCGACCAGTGCTGGCAAGGATGTGGGGAGAAGATACCCTGATGCGGGGAATGTAACTGGTGCAGCCACTGTGCAGACGGTACGGAGGTGCCTCTGAAACCTGAATGTAGACCTACCGTCCATCCACTCCTGCGAATTCACCCAGGCAGAAGAAATCAGTATATGAAAGAGTGATCCGTAGCCCCTTGTTCACGGCAGCACAATTCACGGGAGCTAAGACACGCACTCAGCCCAGATGTCCAGCAACTGTTGATTGGATGAAGAAAGTATGGCGTATGTACACCATGGAGGACTACTCAGCTGTAGAAAAGAAATGGCCTCTATGCTTAAGCATGTGTGGTGGTCAGCAGTACAGGCCAGCCACAGGGAGCAGAGCTGAGGGTGCCTTGGTCCTGATTAACGTTGCTGTTCAGTGGCATCCAAGTCCAGCCGGCAGCCCCCGTCTCGAGTTCTGAGTGCCTTGGAGAGTCCTGTGCGTGGACCAGGAGCCAGATGGCTCTTCATAGGTCCTGCACCTGCACGCAGGTTCTTCTTGATCGTGACAACTGGAAGTCGGAGGAGGAAGTCGGTCGCTCTGCAGGACGCCCCTGCATGTCCGCGTACACACGTGGATTCAGTCTAAGGAGGGAATCGGCGGACAGCATCAGAGTTCAGAACACAGCAAACAGGAGCAGAAGCCGATGCACTCTGAGAGTCTCTCTGCCGAGGCTTTGAGCCCGCCTGGTCCCAGGGAGGCCTCGGGTGTGTGCAGGGTGTGGTCTGCTTCTCAGGGACCCTGGCTGTGCCACGTCTCAGAGCGGGAAATCGGCACGTGCCACATGAATTCAATCAGCAGCCGTGGGCGTGGCCCTGTGCCCGCTCCTTGGCTGAGGTTACTCCTCGGGTCCTGAGACCACAGGCAGCTGAGGCTACCAATGACAAAAATCCCCCAGATCAAGAGACGAACGTTCCTTCTTTTAAATGGTGATGAATATAAAGGGACCAAGTTTCTTGTATCTCCTGTACACAGCTTTAAGGGCATGATGATACTTCCTACCGTCCTCTGCTCCCTCCCTCCCACCCTCTCTCCTTCCTTTTCCTTTAATTTTTGCAGTGACATACTCTCAGGGGACTTTATAGTCACAAGGTTAACCCTCCACCAGATAAAGAATACAGCAAGTAAGGAGAAAAACCACTGTTCTTCAGTTGTATAGACAAGGGCTAAGGAATAATCAAATCTCAATGTCAGTTTCACTTATATACACTGCACTTCTTTCTACTCTATATATTAGTTACCACAGATCAGGGAAAACATTTTACTTGTCTTTTTGGAACTGGCTCATTTCACTGCACATGATCTCCCATCCGTTTTGCTGGAAAAGAGAGGATTGCATTCTGTGTGTGTGTGACTAGCATCATCCCACATTTTCCTTATCCAGTCACCAGCTGATGGGCACCTGGGTTGATTCCATATCTTAGGTATCGTGAGTTGAGCTTCCGTAAACATGGGCGTGGCACAAACCTTTCTTTAGAAAACAAAGCCAGTTAACAACGCGAGCCTAGGACAGACAGTGCAGCTCAGGGAGTTAAACTGCCGCTTACGGTGCCAGCATCCCGTATGTGCCGGTTCCTGTCCCTGCTGTTCTTCTTCCAGTCCAGCTTCCTGCGGAGAAGCAACGGATGATGCTGCAATTGCGGGGTCCCCACCACCCACACTGGAGACTCGGATGAAGTTGCTGGCTCCTGGCTTCAGCCCAGCGCTTGCTCGCTGTGTGTGTGTATGTGTGTGTGTGTGTGTCTCTCTCTCAGCCTAGCACTTGCTTGCTGCCTCTCTCTCTCTCTCTCAGCCCAGCGCTTGCTTGCTGCCTCTCTCTCTCTCTCTCTCTCTCTGTCTCTTGGTCATTCTGCCTTTCTAGTAAATAAATCTTTAAAGGAAAGTGTGAACCTGACTCTCAGGTGGCTCCAGGCTTGGGGCACATGCCAGTTCCTTGCTGCTTGCCCGGGAGCTGTCAGGAGAGAAGGAGACATTCCCAAGGAGCTGAACTTGGACATTTGGCTGCACTCCTAAACCTGGGGCCAGAGCCGGTGTCTGAGCTGTGAGCTCCTCACTGCCAGCTGCCTGGCTGGGGCCGTAGCTCCGGACTCCTGCAGGAAGCCGGCTGGGGCCATCTACCGCCCACGGCAGGACTCCTCTGAGATCCTTTTGCATTTAAACGTCTGTTGCCTACACAGAATCAACAGTGCTCTCCCTGCGGCCTGGTTAGGAATCAGAGAATCCACCACGGAGGGGCTTAGCAGGCCTCGGGGGCTCCGTGACCATGGCTGGTGCCCGCCCGGCTAGCAGGCAGCACACGGTGGCGCACACGTGTTGGGTGACGCAGTGAGTGAATGAGCGTGGCGGCGTCACGACATAAAGCTGTTTAAGATGGAAATCGCAGCTTCTTCACCGAACAGAAGCCAGGAGGGCATGTGGCTTCCGTTTCAGCCTTCACTGTGTAGATGGAGAAAGCGTAAATGCGGAAGTGTTGGTGGCGGCGGGTTCCGTCAGAGTGCGGCTGTCCCCAGAACTTTGCCTGGAATAGTGTCTGTTCCTGTCTGCTCCCCTCATTTCAAAAATCCGGTCTGTGTCCATTCGCTGGGGTCCAGGAATCCGTGGAGCAGATTCCTCCCGCGTGCTTGGCTCTCTGAGGGCTCCCTTCCCTCTGCCGCTCGCCGCTCAGGCTGGGGCCTGTTTATTCCACTTCCACCAGGGGTCATTGAGAAGGCAGCGGAGGTGCATCCCACCCGTGAGGCAGCCTCCCGTCGCGAACAGCCTGAAGTCTGCTCTTTCTGTGTTTGGATAAAAGCCTGGGAAACCTGACTTAAATACTCTCTGAAGAGAGATCTTCAGCGTGGGTTGTGGAGAAGTAAGAATCGTCAGGAAGGATGGGCGTACGGCCTGGCGGTCAGGATACCCGCATCCCCTGTTGTGGTGCCTGGGTTCAAGTCCCGTCAGCAGCTCCTGGCTCCGGCTTCCTGCTAGTGTAGACCCCAGGACACAGCAGGTGATGGCTCAACAGCAGGGCTCCTGTCACCCACGTGGGAGGCCCGGATGGAGTCCCCAGACCCTGCTTCAGCCTGGCCTAATCCTGGCCATCTGGGGACGTTTGGGGCGTGAACCAGTGGGTGGGAGGTACATCTCTCTCCCTCTGTCTCACACATGCGTGTGCTTTCTCTGTCGGTCACTCTGCCTTTTAGAAAGAGAGTCTTCAGTAAATGTTTGAGGTAGTGGATATCCAGTGACCCTGATGTGGTCACTGCACGTGTGTACATGTGTCTGAACATTGCAGCCCAGAGCTACACACAGTTATCATGTGTTGATTAAACATGGAAGTGAGGGCTGCCGTCGCGGGACGTCAGGTTAAGCTGCTGTTTGCAAGGCTGGCATCCCATACACTAGTGCTGGCCAAGTCCTTGCTACTCTGCTACCGATCCAGCTCCCTGCTCGTGTTCCTGGGAAGGCCGTGGGAGATGGTCCAAGTCATTGGGCCCCTGCCACCCGTGGGGTGGACCATGATGGAGCTTCTGGCTCCCGGCTTCAGCCTGGCCCAGCCCTGGCTGTTGTGGGCATTTGGGGTGTGACCCAGCAGATGGAAGATCTCTCTCCCCTCCTTCCTGTCACTGTACCTCTCAAGTAATAAAGAATAAATTAAAAGTCTCCTATGAGATAGAACGTCACAGTTCCCAGGGGCTCACTGAACACGTGCACCCACAGCGCCACGAGTGCGAGCGAGGTTCTTGTCCTGTTTGGTTTGTTTTCGTTTGTCCTCCATGGAATTGTTTAGTTTTTTTCCATATACAGTGATCTCTAGGATATGAGTGGACTTGGAACTTCGTTGTTTACGTGGCCTTTCCGTGGAATGCAGACTGCTTCTCGTCCCTGTGATCTCTGCCACCACGTGTGGACATGCTTTACTGAAACATTAGGGAGCAGATGTGAAGGGAGGTCGGGAGTATAACGGTCTCCACCAAGCAGGCCCATCCCATCCCCCGTAAAATCTCACCAGTGGTCTTTATTGTAGAGAAGTGACAGGCACCTGTCATGGCCTCTGTGATGCCCGTCAGGATTCATAATTGCAGCATATTTACAATAAAATCTGCCAGGTTGCAAACTTCCAGTTTGAAAACAAGCAGTACTATAAATATAATAGCACGTCAGGCAGACTGGAGCAATGTCTTGACGGATGTAAACATGCTTCCGTTATTTACGTAGGCAGGAAGAGGGTGTGGGCAGCACATTCACAGCGATGCCAAGCCGCACAACTGCCGGGTTAGGAATCAGAGCCGGGCGAAGCTGCACCACAGCGAGAGCAGGTGCACCGTGGGGGAGGTCGTGTTGGTTTGGGTTCCGGCCTTTTGGCCCTTCTTTTAATTGTCCTGAATTTTCTAAATTGACTGAAACATGTTTCACTTTTTCAAATTACAAAAACTCCCACCAAACTTCAAATCAGCGTGGATTTCCTGCGTGCCCTCCGCGGGGCTGGGGTTCTCCAGGAAGCCTGGAGGGAGAGCCTTTCACCCCGCGCTCTTGGCCTGAGCCCGGTGGCCCACAAGCGCCCCCATACACGTGTCCTTCTTGGTGACGTCCATGTCCCCACGCGCATCTGGGCTCCCAAGGTGGGGGAGGGGAGGAAGTAAAAGTGCTTCTCCCTGCTCTTGGCGTCTGAGCCGTGGTTCCACGCTGGCTCACAGCTTTGCCGTCGTGTGTTTTGTGTGGCCCCTGCAGATCCGACACGCGTGACGGTGCCCCCGTCCAGCATGGATGTCACTGTGGGAGAGAGCATCGTCCTGCCGTGCCAGGTGACACACGATCACTCGCTGGACATCGTGTTCGCTTGGTCGTTTAATGGACGCCTGATAGACTTCGACAAGGACGGCGACCACTTTGAGAGAGTCGGAGGGGTAAGTGTTGAGGGGAGGCTGTGCGCGGGAGGCCAGCAGGAAGGGGATCAGGGCCGCTGCTTTGTGGTTCTGAGCGATTGCTCTTGGATAGTTGTTGCTCCTCTGGGCGTCGTAGCCGCGGCCCTGCCTAGCGTGGCCTGCGCTGAGGGCACACCCCTGCCCATGAAGGAGGCAGCCGAGGGCCCCCAGGCCCTGCCCTTCCCCCGCGGCTGCTGACGGGCGAGCTCAGCTTCAGACCCACCCGTGTACCCCAGAGCCTGACTGGGGCGTGGGCGAGGCATCCTTTCCTTGCAGGATTCTCAGGTGTGCGTTGTGTGCCCGGTGGCTCGGGTAAAAGACCATCACCCCAGGCGCAGACTTGCCTTCTGGATTCTGAAGGTCGGATCAGATTATGGTCTCCAAGCAGTTTGAATCCAACCAATTGAACTCTCAAAAAATGCCTTAGTTTCTGCAGAAACGTCTGTTAGCATCGAGCAGGTGCAGTCTGGAACCAGCTTGTGTCTAGCACCACGGTTCTCACCCCCGCTGGGGCCGTTCCCCTGGGTGTTCCCAGCAGACGCTGGCAGAACGTAAAGCCCCGCCCACCCTCCGGGCTGCCCCGACTTCGTGGTGCCCGGCCTCTGGCCCCAGCTCACAGAGGCGTGCGGGCGACTTCAGGGGCTTGTTTTCCACCCAGCGGGAGTCCCAGTCCTGGGCATGTTTCTGCCTTTCTCAGAGTTTGAGTCACAGAGCACTCGAACGACATGGACGACTGTTTTCTGAGTTCTCGTAGGAGTGGCGTCTGCCTGGTTCCATGTCCGACTTGTGGGGGCCAAGTTCGTTTGTCCCAGCCAGGGATGCCCGGGCTCGACAGGCAGCCTCTCCTGGAACCCCGGCTGAGAGAGACCCCGTATTAACCCTTCTCTCACATGGCTCAGCTTAGCAGGGCCAGCTAAGTGGGAGACTTAGCTACTACCCCACCAGGCACAGAGTCATAAGTACCTTGAGAATTGGAGGACTGTCTCCCCAGTACCTGTCACAGTGGGAGAGCGCGACCACTCGTAATGGGTGTAGCACTAAAGGAGGGGAACACTGATTGTGGTAGCCAGGAAATACAGTGGGGAAAATTCTTCACAAAGCAGAGTGTTTATTTTCCCACAAAAACAGATTTCCTGGGAAGGGGAGAGGCTGAAAATATCACCCCCAGAATGACATGAGCGTCACCCAATCAGAAGAGAGGCCTGGCCACCCCCGATGGATGCCCTGCCAATCAGGCACACACGGCCCTGATGCCGGATGCGTGCCAGGGCGGGGGCACAGGTGGAGCCAGCCTGACAGAGTCGGGGGCACTGAGGATACCTTTGGCAGAGACCTGTGTCCTCGGCCCTGCCCTCGCCTGCCTTGCACGTGGGAGGTGCCAGTGGCGTGTGCGGAACCAGCACCTGCTAAGCGGGAATTGGGAAGTGAGGAGCAGCCCACGGCCTGGGCCACCCGTGGGTAGTGGCCGCCGGCACCATGAACATCGCAGAACTGAGTCTTAGCGCACATGTGGGGTGGCTGAAGGCCGGCTCGTGTCGCTGTCTGCTTCCTGGGTCAGCCTGGTGGGCAGACCCAGCCTGTGCAGCCCTCAGGAGGGCTTCTGTACCCTGCTGCCCCCGCGTGCTCTGTCAGGGACAGGCAGGGGCCACAGTGGGCACAGCGCTGGTGCCCGTGTGCTGTCTGCAGTCAACGCCACGCTGGATCTCGGCTGACGGCCGGGTCGGGGGACGCCCAAGGAAGGAGCAAGTCCTTGTTCTCCTGCTGTGAGACGCCTCCCTTGGTCCTGACCACGCTCTCTTCCCTGTTTCCCTTTCACTCTAAAGATACAGATCTGGTCAAAATTTGCAGACAACCGCAGCAAGTTCTAAATCTCATGATTGCGGACATCTGTTCGTGGGCTGCCAGACCGTGGCCCAGGCCGCAGGAGTCTCTTGGATGTTGAGGCCTTGCTGGACGCAGGAGGAGCTGAGATAGTGCAGGCGTAGCTGCTCCCAGTGGCCCCCTCCTTGCTGCACACCCGCCCCCGTGAGGCCTGTCCTCAAGTCACGATGATGGTGTGTGTGCACATTGATCGGGAGCCTTCTTAGACGCGAGCGTTACCCACGTGAACCTCACAGCACGCTGAGAGATAGCTCAGCGAACACCCCCCACTTCCCTGAGCAGTGAGGAGTCTTGGTGGGTGAACAGAACCTCAGCGAGAAGTCGGGTGTTCTAAACCGAAGGGCTTTCAGGTTGGAAAAAAAGGAAGAAGGGGAGAAGGCACAGCTCTTCTGAATGAGCAACCCTGTCTCTGGCACGCCCAGTGGCAGGGTTCACACTCGCTGTGGTCTCGGAGGCCTCAGGAGGTTCAGGCGCACACGGTCTCTGATTCCCCCAACGTCGAATCAGCTAAGGGCAGACAGGATGAGAGCTACTGACGTCACAGAGCGGCCAGCAGCTGCCGACAGCGCGGGTGGGGACCGCAGCTCTCCCTCCCCCCGCCCTGCCGCCTCTGTGCTGTGCCCACCGCGGGCGGTCCCGCGTCTCCCGCTGTGCTTGGTAGAAAGGAAGGCGTGGCGGTGCACACGTGATGTGCAGGTGCACCCGGGTGCTGAGCGGCAGGTATGCCTGGGTGGCGACGCAGTTCTCCGAGCCGGGCCCGAGCTGACGGTGTTGAGAGTCAAGTTCTGTCTCTGCCCTCTGCTGGCTGAATGACTGCAGGCGCCCCCCCACCCGGCCTCATCTCTGAGGTGTGACTACTAACAAAGCTGCTTTGCGGGACCTGTGAGTGTTTAGTGAGTTTGTTCAGGAACACGAAACACGTGGACGCTGTTGGTCAACGCCTTGAGGCACGACCCAGTGTTGCTGTCACGGGGAGCAGCGGCAGCAGCAGTGGGGGGCACCGTCAGCACTGCTCTGTGGTTTGGAGCAGAAAGACCAGGCAGGGCCAGCGCTGCCTGAGTTGCCATCCAGAGTGGGTTCAGAAGGAAGAGCCGCTTCCCCGGCCCCGCCCCGGCCCGGCCCCGCCCCGGCCCGGCCCCGGCGTGGCCTCCAGCGGCCGTTCTCCAAGGCTGTGATCCAGGCCCCAGACGGCAGGGTGTCCTGTTAAATCGCCACCACGCAGGTCTCTCCTCCTGGTCACAAAAGCTCCACGCTGGTGAGCAGTGTGGAAACGCTTCTGGGGCACAGAGGCGGCCATGCCAGGGTTGTAATTAGTCCCATTCATCTGCTAATCAAACATGCATTTGGTATTTGCAAAACAGATTAGCACCGGTCCACACCAGGTGGTGTGGGCTTCCCCCTGGAGAGTCTGGTACTCCTGATCTTCGAATTCAAACCTGGGAGCAGGTGGGTGCAGCCATCAGGCAGGTGGGCGTGGATGCAAATCCAGCCATCAGGCAGGTGGGCGTGGATGCAGATCCAGCCGTCAGGCAGGTGGGTGTGGATGCAGATCCAGCACCGGGGGCTTGCGCCCGGCAAGCGTGGAGCTCCCAAGTACAGTGGAGGCTCCGGCTCCGGACAGGGCTGGGGACCGGGCATCTGCGTGCTTCCGAGCAGACCGGCCGGCCAGCCGGGGGCCTGTGGAAGCGGTGCCCTGGAGGGCAGGCGTCCTTACCGCCCACGCAGGCCGGAGCGCAGCGCTGCTGTCTGCGTCAGCCCGAGCGAGCTGAACGCACCAGCCGCCGCGTCCGCCGTGTGCCGGTCCTGTTTCGCGCTCATCAGAAAGTCATTGCAGCCGCTCTGCTCCCCATCAGCAGGACTCGGCCGGGGATCTGATGATCCGGAACATTCAGCTGACGCACGCCGGGAGGTACGTCTGCATGGTCCAGACGAGCGTGGACAGGCTCTCGGTGACCGCCGACCTCGTCGTGAGAGGTACCGCATTTCCTTTGTCGCTAAAGCCTCATGGGTCGTGTACTCTGGTGCCGAGCCCTCTACACCTCAGCGGTTTGGGATCAGGAGGAGAGGCGGGCAGCGTTCCCTGGGGATGTCCAGTCACCTCCCGCCAGCAGTGAGCCCTGCGGGTCCCCAGCGAGGGCTTCTGCAGTTGACAGGAGTTCTAGAACTCTCCGTGAGAAAAGCATGGCGCCGTCTCATGTTTCATCCCAACCAGGCCAGGCTGACCGTTCGGCCCCCGTAGGACCGTGGCTTGAGATCAAGGCCCTCAGTGCCCTTGCTCCTGCAGCTGGCAGGGCTGTCCCCTGCCTGCAGAACGGTGTTGGACGCAAACACCTTCAGGTTGCCCGGGAGGGAGGAGAAAGCAGGGAGGTGCGGTCACAGGCCACGTTTGTGAGCCCCTCCTGCTCACCATGGCTGAGCCACGCCCCCCGGTCCCTCCCAGGCCTCACCAAGCTGTCCATGGACTCCTGGGAAGCATTTTTAATTGCAGGTTTAATGCGTAGTGAGCCCATGCGTGCACCAGAAGGAAATCTGTGTGTGGTCAGGAGGTTCTCGGAGGCCACTGCAGGGAGCTAGAAGCACCCGTGGTCAGTGTCAGGTGCCCTGGGCCAGGGGCTGAGCCCCAGAGGAACTGGGGTTGCAGGGAGCGGAAACCCCAGCTGAGCTCACGTGCCCGGGAGGCAGGTGTGACCAGGGGCACAAAGTGGGCTGCTCCGTCCTGGGGACACAGGCCTGGGAGGTGTGTGGGGCTGGCACCATCACGGAGGCCAGAGCCGACGACACTTGCATGCTGGGTGCCTGCGTCCTCCCCCCGGGATAAGATCCTTCGCTCACGGTGCAGGTGGAGCCGTGCTGAGACTGCCTCAGGAAAACGTACTGTCAGTTTCCCGGCTAAGATGCCCCTGAGTCGGTCTGCTCTCCCCGTGGAAACAAAGGAACTCTGTTCTGAAAATTTATCCCCTATTTAATTAGGATAATGTTCAGATCAGCAGTTTAAACACCAATAAATTAGTCTAATAAATATTTAAATCAGTAATAGTTGAAGTTCTTAAATGATATTGTATACTTCATTTCACAGAAAATAGAGTTGAATACCAAGAGGAATTCGCAAGCACCGAATAAAAGGAAATGTAGTCTAATCAGTTAATAAGGCCAATAAATTAATCCGAGTTTAAGAGCGCGAGCGCGCGTTCCGTCTTCCCGGGCTCTGCCCTTGCGGGTTTTCTGCAGGCTGCTCAGAGAAGGCAGCAATGACTTTAATGCTCCGTGGAGATTTCGTGTTTCGGACCAGGGCAGCCTCGAGGGCTGGCTCCAGCCCCGCGACGCTTAGCCTGAGCCACGAGCAGACCAGGGCCAGACCCGTGACCCCTCTGCGGCCATCGGCCTGCACATCATGTTGTGCGGAGGACACACATTTGCACATTTTGAAAGAGGCACCCAGAGTCCCTAAAACCAAGTGGGTGAACATCCTGTGAGGTCACGGCGGCACAGCAGGCAGGGGCCGGGACAGACCAGGGGCCAGAGCCATGCCACCTGCCCTCCCGCCCCGCAGTGGGGCCAGTGCAGGCTCAGGTTCTTCCTGCCATGTGGTCTCTGAGCCACTAAGGAGGGAGCGCTTTTCTGTTAATGGCCCTGGGTTTTCAAGGGCCCACGGCGCAGCCACAGCGGAAGGAGATGCTGGGTGAGAACAGGGAGCGTCTCGGCTCTGGACGTCTCCGGTTAACAAGACCCCCGGAGAGCAGAGGATCTCTCAGGTGCCATCCGACCGGCAAGCAAAGATGTCCCCGTGGGGAATGAGTCAGCTCCGCACCCAGGAGATGCATTTAGTCTCCCCTGTGGGTCTGTAAAGCGACTGTTAGGGAAGGGAGGAGAATGTAGGGTTTCACGGACGGGGGAGGTAGCGACTCAGAGCCAAGCCTGCGTCAGTGACGTGGTGTTCACCTTCCACAGCTCCGCACGAGCTGGCCCAAGGGAACTCGGCCAACAGACTGCTGGCTGTGCCGGGGGTCGGCTAACACCCCCAGGAGTCCCCCCGATGCCTGTCTAGTGGACGTGGGTTTACCATGTCCCTGGTACCACCTCCTCTCCTGAGACACCGAGGTGTGCCTGTGCGCGGGGAGTCTCCTGTTGAACAGTAGCTCTGGGTCTCTGCCTGCCAACTGCTCTGGGCCCCTCTGTCTTTTTCTGGCCCACAGGCCCCCATGTGCACCTGTGCGGATGCAGCCAGCACCAGTTCTAAGCAGCACAGGGAGAGGGTGGTGTGGGGTGCAGGCCACGTGCAGGCAGGGGCTGCCTCCTTACCTACATCCAAATCCTTGCACTCCGTGGTGGAAGCGACCGTTCCCACCTGACTGTAGTCGTCATGACGTCAGACTGTCCCCATGGCAACTGTATCCCTGGGTGACAGGGCCCGCCATGGGTGGGAATCACAGATACCTGAGGGCGGGGCAGGGACTCGGCTCCGGGTGCCACCATGTCCTCGGCTTCAACACAAGCATTCTCTGACCGTTCCTTGCTGTCCTGTGGGTTCCTCCTGTTAGCCCAGGACGGAAGGGCCACGCAGAGTCCAGCACCCAGCCTGTGTGTGTTGGGAGCAGGCCTGAGAAGCCATGAGCCCGGGATGGGGTGACAGTGGTGGCGTGGGCCGGCGCCCCGTTCGAGGACGCAGCCCTGAGGGCCTCGCTCTTCCCAGGCCCCCCAGGCCCCCCCGAGGCTGTGACCATCGACGAAATCACAGACAGCACCGCTCAGCTGTCCTGGAGGCCCGGGCCCGACAACCACAGCCCCGTCACCACGTACATCATTCAAGCCCGGACGCCGTTCTCCGTGGGCTGGCAAGCTGTCAGCACAGGTACCAGACGGGGGGCCTGGGCTCTCGCGGTCCTCAGCCTGCGGGGAGGGGCACCGTGTGGACCCCGGGTCCTCCCTCAGACCCGGACGGCTGAGTCCGGAGCACAGCCACTGCTCTGTCGCTGAGTTCATGTTTTCTCTGTGCCGACCCAAAGCCGTGTCCTCGCTTCCCCCAGCAACAGTACCTGGGAAAGGATGGACCTAGTGTGCTGCTTCTGGCTTTCTTTTTACACACATTGGAAAATGCACTCGGTACCCAAACAGAACGATCCATGTGCGTGTCACCTGTGCCTGCGTCATGCCCGGTGCTCCCAGGTCACAGACTTGGGGGGTTTGTGTCCCGCCCTCGTGAAGCCAGGACGTGGCTGCTGCCGTGAGCCCCTGCCCCCCTGCACTCTCCCGCAGCGTCCTTGTGGGCACGAGGAGACACAGGACTTCTGTTTCCAGACTTCACAGTTCCAGAGGTTTTTCCTTAAAGCGTCCCTGTCAGCACAGCCAGAGTTCTCACCCCGCCTTCCTGCATTTACACCACATTTCCCACTTTCGGAAGTCCCACAGTCGGTCCTCCTTTGGGTCTTAGCTCTCATTACTGTCTCACCCCTGTCGCTCCCTCCTGATCGGCTCTTTGGTTGATGCGGATTCCACGTGAGGGAAGACCGGGTAAACCGGCAGTTCCTGCAGGCAGGGTCCGGGTGGGCGGCTGTGGCCTTGGAGGAGGAGTAGCCACAGTGATGTGCCCAGTTTTTATTTATATTTATTTATTTGAAAGGCAGAGTTAGAAAAAGAGAGAGAGAGAAAGAGTGAGATCTTCCATCGTCTGGTTCACTCCCCAAATGGCCACAGCAGCCAGGGCTGGGCTGATCTGGAGCCAGGAGCCTCCTCCGGGTCTCCCACGTGGCTGCAGCACCTGAACCATCTTCTGCTTTCCCAGGTGCACTGGCAGGGAGTGCATGGGAATCGGAGCAGCCAGGACTCGAACCAGTACCTGTATGTGATGCTGGTGCTGCCGGCGGCAGCCTTACCTGCTGCACCACAGCACCGGCCCCTGATGCGCCGTTTTACACGCGTCACGGAGGTCGTGCTGATTTTAACAACACCAGTTGTTTTCCCATGGGAGTTTTTTGCCCCTCGGAAATAGGTCTCTGTGTGCTGCTGCAGTCACTGGCGTTCTGCTGAGTCATGGGTTTGCTTTAAGCAGAGATGAGAACAGTCTGGAAGCTGGGAGAATTCCAGCGCTGACTCCGCAAGGAGAAGCTCAGCTCGGGCAGCTTTGCGCCCTGGGGCCTTTGTGTCTTTCATGAAGTCCCCTGCTGGCCTCTGACTGGCACTTACTGGTTTAGCGTCCGTCTGGGATTCCCGGGGGTGTGCACAGCGCAGTGAGACGCCCCGGGGCCCTGCAGGCGAGGTGGATCGTGATGGTGCAGGGTGTCCCCTCTGCCTCGCGCGCCTGCGCGTCCTGTCCTAGGAACCTGGAAACACCCCTTCCCGCTCTGACCCCTTTCAGTCCCCGAGCTCATCGACGGGAGAACCTTCACAGCGACCGTGGTGGGCTTGAGCCCCTGGGTGGAGTACGAGTTCCGCACAGTTGCAGCCAACGTGATCGGGATCGGCGAGCCCAGCCGGCCCTCGGAGAAACGGCGGACGGAGGAGGCCCGTGAGTACCGGGCGCAGCTGCGGGCACACTCGGGCAGCGCCGGCCCCAGGGAGCGATGCTGACCCCGCACTCCCGAGAAACCAGGTCGTGGGAAGCCGGTGATCAGGCGGGGGGGTCAGGAGCCAGGTGCTCCTCAGTGGTGCACTTGCCCAGAGGCACCGCGCTCACCACTCCCCAAAGCCGACGCCTTCACCAACCCATTGGTCTCCAGAGTTCTCCTAACAGGGCTGTCGTTTTGAATACACATCCCCATCTCAAATGACAGAAATCACTCATGACAGAGACCTGGGCTGGGTCGCCTCTGAGGTCGCCAACCACCCCCGGGAGCTGAGACCCAGACCGTCCAGGGCCAGCCAGCCATGCTGCAGGGCTTGAGCGAGCACTGGGAGAAGGAACCCACACCCACGGGAGCTGCCTGTCCTCTCACGCGTGGCGGGAGGCGGCGCGTGGGCTGCAGAGGCCCGGCTGTGGGGATGCCAAGCGCCTGTTGAAGGGATAACAGGGGCCTAGGAAGATGGAAACTCTCTGCAACATTGGCATCTACATCGTTGGCTTTAACCACGAGACAAACCCGCTCACCGGCTGCCGCCTCTGGCCCCGCGGTCCCAGAGCTGGTCCTGTGCCTTCTTTCCCTGTCCAAGTCTAATCTCTCAGAGATTCTCGGTCAGCCTGATACCCCCCCGCTTACAGACCTGAGAGATGAACCTGTACACAGTACCCCCTTCAACACCTGGCTCACGCCTACTCCTGGGCACCCACACCTGTCCGTTCTGCGTGTACCACACACAGCTGATAAACACCAGAGCACCAGCTGCTCCGTCCCCCCAGGTCCGGGCCCCCTGGCCTCCAGGCAAGGAGCTGATGGGCCAGCAACGGTTGTGTCCGCTTGTTGAACGGGAAACAGGTGATCCGCCTCCAGCTCCTGGTGCCTCCCTCCTCCCAGCTCAAGCCGTGGGCCCGTGGCTCAGTTCCTGAGCTCAGAGGACAGAAGTGAACACACCCGAGTGTTGTCAGAAGGGAGTCACAGCGCCCAGGTGACGTCCTGGGCCCTCCTGTGGCCGTGCCACCTCTCCTGACTTGTCCTTGTCCCTGCAGTGCCGGAGGTCACCCCAGCCAACGTCAGCGGCGGTGGAGGCAGCAAATCTGAGCTGGTTATAACCTGGGAGGTAACTGCATGGGGACAGTAGGCACTGTGGGCCCGTCTTCACGTTAGACACGGCTGGACGCGTCCCCCGTGGTTTGTGACAGCCAAGGCCCCCGTGAGCACCCACCCTCCCTCTTCCGTAGCTGGTGGCTGCTCCATTCTCCACAATCGGGAAGTGGCGCTTGTCTGACAAATCCAGGCTGGCGTGGCCGCCTGAGCTGCCCTGTGGCCACAGGATTCAAAGCCCTGGTGGCTGCGGCGCCTGGCCCCAGCCTTCAGCTGAGCTGGAGCCGTCCACAGACAACTCGGAGGTCACTTAGTCACCTGTTCATGTCAGTCTGCTTGGCGAGGGGAGGTGGAGCTTAATGAAAGGCCCCTTCCTGGTTTTGGAAGACTCTGGACAGCAGCCCCAGAAGCCAAAATCGTCAAAGTTCCCTGAGCCCCCGCGGTGAGAGAGGAAGGCCTGGCTCGTGCCAAGGTGGTCCTCGTTGTCCCCCTGAGAGCCTGCGCCTGGCGCTGGAGCGAGGTCAGCATGAGACGCTGCTGTCGGCGTCGGCACACACCAAGCAGGTCTCCCACACCCGGCTGCCGGGGGCAGGCTCCCCTGCACACGTCCATCTGGGTGGGCCAGCCACCGCTGGGCCAGCACCTCACGTGCACCCACACAGAACAAGACCAGCGGGAGGCAGGTGGGGAGGCGTGGGCACGGGGGCACGTGGGCAGCCGCAGCCTTTGGTCCCCCTTCCTCCCCAGACGGTGCCCGAGGAGCTGCAGAACGGCAGAGGCTTCGGCTACGTGGTGGCCTTCCGGCCGTACGGCAAGATGATCTGGATGCTGACGGTGCTGGCGTCCGCCGACGCCTGCAGATACGTGTTCCGGAATGAGAGCGTGCGCCCCTTCTCTCCCTTCGAGGTGAAAGTGGGTGTCTTCAACAATAAGGGGGAGGGCCCCTTCAGCCCCCCCACGGTGGTGTATTCCGCAGATGAAGGTAAGACCCCGCCCCCACCGCGGGATGCGGGAACCGGGCTGGGGCTCAGGTGCAGCGCTGGGGGTCATGGGATCACGCTGACACCCAGTCAGTCAGAGCCGTGCCCTGACGGGGAAGAGAGGGCTGTGGAGCCCCCGCGTCCTTATCCAGCCCGTTCCCTAGATAAGAGAGCTGCCCCAGCGTGCAGGAAGTGGGCTGTGGAGCCCCCGCGTCCTTATCCAGCCCGCTCCCTAGATAAGAGAGCTGCCCCAGCGTGCAGGAAGTGGGCTGGGGGTACCCAGAGCTTGGTAGGACCCACACTGCCGGGAGCAGAGCTTCCCCTGCTGGCATGAGGCCATCATTGCTCTCAAGGAAATACCAAAGAATAATTTGAGGGCAGGTCTTTGGCCTGCTGGTGACACCGGCATCCCATGTCCAGGGCCTGGGTTTGAGTCCCAGATCTGCCTCAGTTTCAGCTTCCTGCTCACGTGCACCTGGGGAGGCAGCGGGTGACAGCTCACGGACCTGAGTCCCTGCCTCCCACGTGGGAGACGGACTGAGTTCCTGGCTGCCAGCTTTGTCCTGTTGCAGGCATTTAGGGAGTCAATCAGCAGATCGGAGGTCTCTGTCTGTCTCTCTCTGCCTCTGAAATTACATGTGTATGAGTGTGTATGCATCCATGCTGTAGATTGTCTAGTATGTATAACATCTACTAGATGTCTGTTCACCTATGTATATATGAAACCCTCACTTCCCCTCTCCACTGGGACTTACATCACGTCACACCTTAAACCTTCTGCACCAGTCAGCGAGGGGCACAGGTCCGGAAGCCGGGGGATCGCGTTGGTGGCCTCCTGCAGTGCTGCGGGGTGGAGGGCTGGCTCTCGTTCCTGCTGCTTGTGTGCTGGCCCGCCTCGCTCAGTCTCCGATCGCTGGGCCTGGGCTTTGCTGCTCTCGAGATGATATTCAGAGTGAGGCTGTGTGGAAACAGCTGAGTCATCGAGGTGCAGTCAGTGAGGATGCAGGAAATTCTCCCGGAAGTGAAAAATCACCCCTGAGACCCGAGATGGGGGAGCCTGCCGGGACCCGGCCCCGCCCCTCCGCCCTCCACGCTTGCCTGCGGCCTGCGTGCTCCAGCCACGTCCTCAGGCCCGCACGTGTGCCGTGCACCACGCTTGCTCGTCCCATGCCGTCCCTGTGAGCGCACACACACACCCTTCACGCCTCCCCCGAGCCGCCACAGCCTCCCTGCCTGTCCTGGGCCTGCGGGCTGAGCCATTGCTCCTCCCACCACAGCTGTCTCACGCTGCTCTGCCCTGACCCCACCCTGCTGCACTGCAGACCTTGAACCGGAGCTGTGGGGTCCTCAGGGCCGTGTCCTGGGTGGACCATGTGTTTTCTCCTCCGTGTTGCCCTTGTGCTGTGTGATTCCGAGCCCTGAGATGACCTCTGACCCCAGCAGCACACATGGAGCGCTGCACTGTCGCGGAGAGCCACAGCCGTAGGGGACGGTGCTGTTGTCCAGCCGTTCCTGCTGTGCCGTGTGCGTCCCTGGAGGAGGGCCCCAGTCCCCCGTAAATGATAAGAGATGAACTTTGTAAATTACGTAGCAGTAACACCAATTTGGAGTTCTTAGGAAAAAATATTTATCAACGTAAACACCGGATCTCATGAATATCATTGGTTAAGATACGGCTAAGCCGGGTTCTTCTTTAAGAAAGACATTGAAAGGAAGATTCAGGGTACGAATGGGTCTCAGCTCCGGCAGAGATCTGGCCAAAATCTCTCACATTTGGGAAGTACTGGGTCCCTATCTCGTTCGCCAGTGAGCATGTTTCGGCCCAGCGAATGTAGATCACTCATCTGCCATCTCTGAGGTTGGCCCCACCCTCCTGCCACTGCCCACAGGGGCTTTGGACCCAGAACTGACGCCTGCCTCCTCCTGTCTCCTGCCAGGCCCACAGGCCCCCAACTGCCCTACAGCTCCCCCTCCCAGGCCCCTCGTTTCGGGGGAGCTCAGTACTGGCATGTGCCTGGGGCCTGCTCACCACCTCTGCCAGGCTGCTGTTGGGGGTTCCCTGGGGAGGGGGCAGCCAGGCCCACTCAGCTGCTGAGACAGGCTCTGGGTGCCCCTGGGGCGGGGGGACAGCACCTGCTGCTCCTGCCTCTTGCTCCCTGGGCCTCTCCTCTCACGTTGATGACCCAGTGCCCAGGCTCTTTCCTACGACAAATGCCAGCCAAGAACATCTGTGTTGAGGGAACTACTGGCAGGAAAACTGGGTGCCACGTCTGAGTGGCCCTGGTTGCTTCCCCTCCACCCCCAAGGTGAGGGCTTGGACAGGTGCTCCCCCTGCACCCCAGCTGCTCATCCCTGCTGCTCTGCACACGCTGGTGTGGCCCCCAGGCAGGGAGGGGGGCGCTGTGAGCGGGGATCCTGTGCACCTCCTAATGCCAGTGTCTAAAGCCCCGGCACAGCTGATGCCGCCCTGACCCCTCCGTGTCCCCCTGCAGAGCCCACCAAGCCGCCAGCCAGCATCTTTGCCAGGAGCCTTTCAGCCACAGACATCGAAGTCTTCTGGGCCTCTCCCCTGGAGAAGAACCGAGGGCGGATACAAGGTTATGAGGTCGGCAGGCGATGAGGGTCGTGGGAGTGGGGATGTGCCGTACCCTCGGGGAGGCCACCAGACACCTGTGGTCCACGTGGGAGAAGTGGGATCTAATTTAATCCAGGTCCTTGCCTTTTACTTGAAAGCATTTTAAGCACAGTGCATAAAATGCTGAAGTTTAGTTAAAAGGTGCGAAAGCAAACAGACACACACACACACAAACACACGTGGGCGTGGTTAGGAGTGGACCAGAGAGAGGAGGGGGTGGGGAAGTGACGTAGAGGGGCACACCATCAGCGCCTTCTCTCATCCTTGTCTCCAAGGGAAGAGGGTAAGCACCTTCCAGCACCTTTGTTTAGGGGGTAGCGTGGTCCCCAGGGCCCCGGGAAGTTTGTGACACCTCCATGACACTCCACCTGGAGCCTAATCCACATGCTTACATGGAGACCCCCAGGGCCGGATGAACACAGGGCATTCTGGGAAGCGGGTGTTCTGACGGACAGACGGGCTGGAACTCCGTGGCGCAGGGCCATGTGGTCTGTGCGCCCCAGTTCAGCTACCTTGGCCATGTCGTCATGGGGGAGACGCCCCACCTCCCAACTGGAGGCGCCTGCTTCAGTCCACACAGACGCTGAGCGGTCAGCTCTGAGAGGACCCCTTTTCCGTGCCACGCCCTCCGGGGCTGTTTCAGAATATTTGCCAGTCCCGGAATTCAGGAGCTGGTCGGCAGAAGGAGCTGAGGCCTGAAATGCCTGCCATCGGGCTCCCTCGTGCTCAAAACAAAGGGTAGAAAGGCAAGAGATAACTAAGGGCAGCTGGGCCATTTGACATCCCGCTGGGCAGACCAAGCCCGGTTACCACGAGGGTTCCTGGGAGCAGGCCACGCCCTTTGTTCTGCGAAGTCTGCTCTTGGATAGCTCCAGCCTACGAATCTGCCTGGAGCGTCCCCGTGACGTGGGAAACACCCCAACGGCTGTGACTTCCAAGCCGTCTTCTTTTCTCAGGTTAAATACTGGAGACACGAAGACAAGGAAGAAAATGCTAGGAAGATAAGAACCGTCGGAAACCAGACGTCTACAACAATCACCAACTTACAAGGCAGCGCGCTGTATCACCTGGCCGTCAAGGCCTACAACTCCGCGGGGACAGGGCCCGCCAGTGCCACCGTCAACGTCACAACCAGGAAGCCGCGTAAGGGCAAACTTGCTGGGAACAGGATTCCCCAGACACATCCCAAGTTCATTGCCTCCCCACCTCCCAGTGGTCATTTGCATACTAATTGGCATCATTAGGAGGATTCAGATTTACCTTGGCATTTTAACTGAACCTGTGCAAAACGCAGTGCTCCCGAGGACAGAAAGATAAATGTTTTCCTCCTTGCCTGGAAGGGCTGCCCCTCACCCTACGAGGTAGGCGGCCAGCCGAATCCTTTTCCATTTGCAGCGCCGAATCGCGTCGGATTTCAGTGACCTTGAAGACACATATTAGTGCAATCGCCCATTAAATTGCCTGCACTCTCGATTTCTAGGCAGGAATCGTGGAGATGTAATAATGTGTGACTTGGTATATCGTCATTTTTTCTTTCCACAGCGCCGAGCCAGCCCCCCGGAAACATCATCTGGAATTCATCCGACTCGAAAATCATCCTGAACTGGGATCAGGTGAAGGCTCTAGAGAACGAGTCGGAAGTGAAAGGATACAAAGTACGCAATTTCTCCTTGTGCAGGCACTCAACCTTGGCCCTGGGCCGGGCCCTGTCCCGCTCCCCGTCCAGCCTCCCCCTCTCCTGGGCTCCCCGTCCAGCCTCCCCTTCTCCCGGGCTCCCCGTCCAGCCTCCCCCGCCCCCGGGCTTCATGTCCAGCTTCCCTCACCCCTGGGCTCCACGTCCAGCCTCCCCCACCCCCGGGGCTCCACGTCCAGCCTCCCCCTCTCCTGGGCTCCCTGTCCAGCCTCCCTCTCTCCTGGGCTCCCTGTCCAGTCTCCCCCACCCCTGGGCTCCCCGTCCAGCCTCCCCCTCCCTTGGGCTCCCTGTCCAGACTCCCCCGCTCCTGGGCTCCCCGTCCAGGCTCCACCGACTCCGGGCTCCGAGTTTAAGGTACAACGGCCTCTGGGTTTGACTTGAAGCTCCTGGGACCTTGGAAATCACGGTCTAAGCATTAGGAAATATTCGGGTGGGCCTTTAAGTAACCAGATGTATCGACACAGGCCTCACGCCACGGGAAGTATTTTACCTGGGTGTAAGCACTAGAAATCATAAACTCGGCCGCCAGGCCCAAAGAGAGTATTACCCCTCCATGGCTCCACATGGGTATAAAATCCCCCGTCCAGTCCCCTGAGACTTCAACTCTGCACTTCAGCCCCTCCAGGGCGCCTACACACCCACCCCCACCCCACCAAAAGCTTTAGATACCCCCTACCCACCCTTAAGAGAGCTCTTGAGA